ATCCTATGAAGTTTCAAGTCCATGGCTTTTATACATTGGGAGAAATGGCCCGGACAAAAATAAAGTATGAAAATTAACAAAGGGCAATAACTCAAAAATTAGGAAATGCAGAGTACCGGTTCTTGTGCACTGCACTTCTTCTTAATGAGATCTATCATCCTATGAAGTTTCGAGTCCATAGCTTTTATAGTTGAAGAGAAATGGCCCGGACAAAATTAAAGTATGAAAATTAACAAAGGGCAATAACTCAAAAATTAAGAACTGCAGAGTACTGGTCCTTGTGCACTGCACTTCGGGTTATTGAAAGAAGCATGCATACCAAGTTTGAAGTCAATCAGACTTATAGTGACTGAGTTATGCAAGCTTTAGGGGACGCCGACAACGACGCCGCCGACAAAAGTAACCCCTATATGTCGCATTTTAAGGCGACACAAAAATGAGAACTCTATAGACAAAACTTTACTAGTAATAATTGTTTCTCCAAGGACAGTTTTTATTATGAATTACACAGATTTTTATTTTTTACAGGACTGTTTCATGCTGGACAAGGTGTTTATCATTTGTGGATTTCAATGTGAATTGATACTTTGACATATTGAATACTATTGCAGAATTAAGATGTATAGGACATTTATAATATATTCATTGAAAGTACATAACAACCTCTGTATAGCAACCACCCTTTGGGAGACAAAGATTTTGGTTGCTGCTGAGAGATGCTGCTCTACAGACATTAAATTTATTGTGAAGTTTTATTTTTGGAAACATATCTGTTGTAAAGAGGTGGTTGCACTACAGAGGTTAGATTTACAGTAAAGTTTTACTTTGGGAAAGAAATGATACTGTTGTTGTAAAAAGTGATTGCCCTACAGTGGTTAGATTTACTTTGAATCCTTACTTTGGGAAAGAAATAATACTGTTGTTGTAAAAAGTGATTGCTCTACAGAGGTTAGGTTTACTTTGAATCCTTACTTTGGGAAAGAAATAATACTGTTGTTGTAAAGAGGTGATTGCTCTACAGAGGTTAGATTTAATGTAATGTCTTACTTTGGGAAAGAAATAATACTGCTGCTGTAAAGAGGGAAAAACTGCGATTCCTGTCAAAATTTTACATTAATTAATTAATCCAGAATTTTTTATTTGAAAATGTATAAACAGTGTTTCAAAAAAAAAATAGAATTGACATTACTTGGGTGTTTTTGCAATTATGCTTGGGCCTGTTAACTGATCTAGTAAAAAGTTACTTTATCAATTTTATTATTTCCAAGAATTTGATACAAGATTTTGTCATTATGATGTCTCGCTTTCTTACTTTATTATCATCACATCTGTAACAGATGTTTATCATTATTCATATATTGAAATAAAATACTTGTCTTCAGATTGGTTTATAGTTAGTTTAAAGATATTTAACATAGAAGAGTATGGGACTATAATAGGTGTTTCTGTAGCTGTGTCACATACTTAAAATCACTTGACCCTCAACACTGTTGGTTGAAATCTTACCAGAGGAATTTTGAGTGTTTTCAAGTGAGGAAGTTGTCAAACTAGCTAATATTGAAGGTTGATGGTTCTACTCTTATAAAATAAAACACAAAAGCATCTTATTCCACCAGTAAAGCTTGAAAGTATAAGTTTAAATGTATATATAAGAAGTATAAATGTGTAGTTTGACCAAGATCATTACTGCTTGCTAATAACAAGCTATAGATAGCATGTCCTGATAATGATAGTACCAAAAATAGAAGATGGAAAAGTTCATTTTAACAAGCAAATTCGTTGAATTTATATCCCCCGCCGAGTACTGGTTATTATTAACACAACAACTGAAGACATAAGGCTTTATTTATATATTAATCATGGCATAAACTGTAATATTCTTTGAAATTGAAGCCTTGTACCTTCAAACAAGAAGAATCTTTAAGTTTTCACTATATACATATAAGGAAAATCTATGACCCCCTGGAGTGGGGCCAATTTTGACCCCAGGGCTAAAATTTGAACAATTTTGGTAGAGGACCTATAGGTTATATCATATACCAAATATCAAAGCTCTAGGCCTTGTACATTCAGACAAGATTTTTTAATTTTGCATTTTTGAAACTCCTTTTCTGGCCCTGTGACCTACTTATGCAACAGACCGCAACCATTTGATCAACTTTGGCAGGGGACCACTCTAGGATCATTCCTGTAAAGTTTGGTTGCTGTGAAGTCATTTGTTTCTGAGGAGATGTTGTTTAAAGAAATTGCTGACGACGCATGACGACGGACGGTGGGGGATCACAATAGCTCACATAGATGTAAAAACATCTTAATCTCCAGACTTCATTGCCATTTTCAAGGCATCAAGAAGGGATCTCACAATTTTCAAATATTTTTAAATGTTATTGTAACAAATCATTTTAATTCTTCTTTAATAAAAACTAGAAATGTGTCCATAGGACACGGGTGCCCCCACCGCGCCACTGTTCTGTCAATCTTATGACTCTAGGTCAAATATTTTTTGAAAACTAAAAATCTTTTTACTAAGTAAAGGGCAAGAACTTTACAAATACTCAATAAATCCCCAAGCAAACCCCAAGTTGAAAATTGTAAATTTATACTACTGTAATTCAAGGGCAATAACTCTAACAAAACTGAAAAAAATCCACATGCAAGGTCCCAGGTTCATAGCATCACAGTGAGGTTAATCATTATTCCTGTAATTTAGTGATGTTGATCATTATTCCTGTAAAGTTGGTCGATTCTAACTCAAGCACTCAAGGATCAAATAACAACATAATGAAACAGTTTTTACTAAGTCAAGGGAAATAACTCTACAAATACTGGATAAATCCACAAGCGAAACCCCAGGAACAAACTAAATATGCTGAGCAACTTTCCAATAAGGTTTAATGACCCTATGTCAAATCCTTTTTGAGTTACATGCGACACATGTTGAAAATTGCAAACATTTTCTAAGTCAAGGGTAATAACTCTAAAAATACTAAGTAAATCCAGACGAAAATACCCAGGTGCACAACTACACATGCTGATCAACATTCCTGTAAAGTATCATGACTCTAGGTCAAATACTTTTTGAGTTACATGCGACACAAGTTGAAAATTACAAAAGTTTACTGTCAAGAGCAATAACTCTTAAAATACTAAAAATATCCAGACGAAAATACCCAGGTGCACAACTTCACATGCTGATCAACATTCCCATAAAGTTTCGTTGAATTCCAGCCATTAGTTGCAGAGAACTACTCCGGAAACGAAATTCGGACAAAATTTTACTGAGTCAAGGGCAATAACTCTAAAAATACTAAAAATATCCAGATGAAAATACCCAGGTGCACAACTTCACATGCTGATCAACATTCCCATAAAGTTTCGTTGAATTCCAGCAATTAGTTGCAGAGAACTACTCCGGAAACGAAATTCGGACGGACGGATGGACGGACGGACGGAAGGACGGACGGACAACGCCAAAACTATATCCCCCTCCCGATTCCATCGGCGGGGGATAATAACTTCATTATCTCATAGAATGATCTGAATATACTATCTATTAAAAAAATCAAAATAGTATTTGTTATTTTTCTATATTGGTGCTTAAAATGATGTTGCAGCCACTAGTATTCAGGCATTTGTGGTGGTGGTGATAGTTTACACTCCGGATCACAGCAGTAAGCCAGAGTATTGTTCAGCCACAGCATCATTCTTGGGCAGGCTGTCAAACTGTTTACCAGTACTAGATGCTTAAAGAAATAAAGAAGTTTGAAGTAGATACCTTAAGAAATGAAGATGTTAAAGTAAAAACTAACATTTTTTAACATAAAATCAATGTTCAAGGGAGGATAATTCTGAAAAAAATGTGTGCTGGAGTTATAAATCTTGTCACACATGTAATTGATGTTAAGGAACATATACTCGTATTTGAAGTTTGAAGTAGATTATAACCTTCAGTAATAAAAATGTATGGTAGTGAAAAATAACATTTTTTAAGGAAAGTTCATGGGGAGATTTTGGAAATATTATTGATCGAGATAAAATTCTTGTCGCATATGATGTGGTTGATGATTATAAAGGAGCATACATTTGAAGTTTGAAGTTGAACTCTTCAACCAGCATGCCTCCAGATTAATGCATATTTTCATGAAAATTTTGAAAATGAAATTAAATGTATATTATTGTATAGTAACCAAAATGAATCATTTTACATATTATCAATGGCACTTACAACCCACGTTTGTTACAAAAAGAGGCCAAAATATGCAAAAAATGTCCTTACTGCATTTGTAACGCAGTAGAAATATTGTTACACATAATGAAACATTCACCATTAATCGCTCATAACATGAAAATTATTACCTGAATCTTGAATCTTTCTACTTTGCCTATAATCTAAGTACAATGTACATTTTTCACAAGTCTGATTTATTGAAATATTTTTGCTCACCTGGAGGCATGCTGCTTTATACAAAGAAGTAAGAGTAAAAATAAATATTTTAAGGAAAATTCTAAGTTCAAGGGGAGATAATTCTGAAAATTTTAGATAGAAAGATAGCTTCTAGAGTTATGAACCTTGTCACATGAGATGTGGTTGATGATAAGGAACATAAGTAACTGTTGATACATTAAGAAATAAAAAAGTTGTAGTAAAAAGCATTTTAAAGCACCAAAAACAAACTTTTATCTGAAAACTGGATGACGACCTCGAGGTGCTTAGGACAGCATTCCATATACTTTGTTTAGTCAAGCTAAAAACAGCCTGTGAGGCTGTGCAGAGTTTTTACAAAGGTTCACAAAAGGGGAATATTTCAATGATTATCAATGCTAGAGTAATGGGTAATATGGACAGTAACCTACAATAATACCATACTTGTTTTCAAAATTGTACATCATATCTGTAATTAGTGTTGTACAACTAAATACTACCATGTGTTGAGGCTTTTGAAGTAACATTATTCTCATTTAAATAAATTACTACTATTATCAAAAGTAGTGACCATAAGCTTTTTAATTTGTTTTATTTTCTAATACAAAATCTATATCAAGCACTAAATAACAAAGCAATAATATTTGCATAAAAATCAACACATTCTGTACAAAAGTCATATTTAATACAAAATATACATTGTTTAAAGTATATATAAGCACATTTATTTATCAATCATAAAACTTGTATTCAAAGTGCTCATTATAAGATGTGTTAAGTGTTTCATTTCATTTAATTCATTTCTATATATTGACAGAACCTCATTCATCCATACATAAAACTATTTTGATATATGGAACTATTGAATATTGAAATATTATTATGAAAGTTCAAGTCATTAAACAACCTTCTGCTTAAAAATCAGAGAAAATCAATATATATTTATATCATAATAAGAAAAAAATCACAGACAGAAGAGTCCAAACTTAAACGGAATTTAGAGGTGAATGTCTTCCGAGTTATCAAGACTTAGGTCCATGTCACTATGTGTTGAGGTCTGGTGTCTTGTCAAACTGCCGGTTTCTAAGACATCATTTTCTTCTGGTTTTTGTGAATTAGAATGATTTTGTAAGACTGGTGACGCAGATGACGTTGTAGATATAAACTCGTCGTTTGACCTTGAACTTGTGTTACTAATTGATTTATTTCCGGGAGTTACAGAACCTGCAACAGTTTGTCCATTTAGACTTCCAAATTTTGCCGAGTCCTCGAGGTTTCTGTTTTCTGCAGTTGTATAAGCGTGTCGTCTACGAACTTCCTGTTGTCTCACAGAAGGTTGCTCAAGTTTACCAGTAAAGTTGTTTGTTTGTGGTATTTCTGTAAACAAAAATTAAACAATCATTTCACATCTGCTGGGGAATTTTTTAAACCAAATACATGTTATATTTCTTTAGTAAGTCTACCAATAAATACAAGTTTTATACCTGGTATGTAACTTAACGTAAGCAATGAAAGCAGGTCATTGACATGAAAGGGAACAATACATTATCTGAAGGTGTATTAATTATTACATACTACTAAGTTAAATGTAATGCTAATGAACACTGCCAAAACTTGTGACATTTTGTACACATCACCAAGTTTTTGTCATGTCTGGCAGAAGAAATGTACAAAATCTAAAACTGATACATGTCTAATATATGTCTTGCAACTGGGCGATTATAAGACAATAAAGAAAAATAGAATTTCTTTTTTATGGTTAATGGACAAGTGACACATCTAGATGCTATACAATATGTCATAAAAAACAGCACTATGTTCATTTTCAATGGTTGAGAATTGTGGGTCAAGCTACTCTATTACCTTGAATATTACCTGACATAATAATAAAAATAAAAAAATTTCTAACATGTAAATTAAAGACATAGCTAAAACCTTTCAAATTAAAAAAAAAAAAAAAAACATTAGAAAAAAATAATGTAACATAAATAAGTAGGAATGCTTCTAAATACATAATAAATTACATCCTAGACATGTCTGTTTGGTAAAGAACATAATAACAGGAAAAACTGACAAAGAGTATCACTCAAACAATGTTAATGTGTTAATGTTAAACAATGCAAGCAAGTAAGTTAATATTACACATGACAGCCACATCTATTTCTACAGATAAGTTGCTTGTCTGATACATGGGTATAACAATATCTTTAATCTATAGAATCATTAAAAGATATCATCGATCTAGTCTTATACTGTTGCAATATCTTATAATACTACTGTAACAATATCAATTTAATTTTCATGGTTGAAGAAAGGTACTGTATGGAAAATAGTTCAATTCTTAACAAGAGCCATGTCAACATGGCCACCCCCCGCCGAACGTGTTTGCTCATTGGAAGAATGTACATGTAGTAGAGCGGAATAATTCCATTTTAAGAGGTCTTTTGGTAATGAAAACTGATGGCTATAGTGATTACAGATTTGAAACCTATGTGAATACTGATGGCTGAAAATAACAAAGGGCAATTACTGAAAAATAATGCAGGGTAGGTTATCATTCTTGTGTGCTGCATCCCTCCTCAGTAAAATCTATCCACCTATGAAGTTTCAAGTTGATACCTCAAATACTTTTTGAGAAAAAAATTGAATTGAAAAATTAACAAAGGGCAATAACTCAAAAATTATAAAAGGTAGAGTTATCATTCTTGTGCAGTGCACACCTCCTGAGTGAGATCTATGCACCTATGAAGTTTCATTTTGATATCTCAAAGGCTTTTTGAGTTATGCTCTGGACAAAAATTAATTTTGAAAAATAACAAAGGGCAATAACTCAAAAATAATGCAGGGTAGAGTTATCATTCTTAAGCACTGCACTCCTCCTCAATGAGATCCATCCACCTTTGAAGTTTCAAGTTGATACCTCAAATACTTTTTGAGATAAGCGCTGGACAAAATAGCATGAAAAAAAAAAAACAAAGGGCAATAACTCAAAAATTGTATAGGGAAGAGTTATCATTCTTGCGCACAACATTCCTCCTCAATAAGATCTATCCACCTATGACATTTCATGTTGATATCTCAAACACTTTTTGAGTTATGCTCCACTCAGGTGAAAAATTAGGTATGAAAAATAACAAAGGGCAATAACTCAAAAATTATGAAAGGTAGAGTTATCATTCTTGTGCACTGCACATCTCCTGAGTGAGATCTATGCACCTATGAAGTTTCATGTTAATATCTCATAGGCTTTTGGAGTTATGCTCTGGACAAAAATCAATTATGAAAAATAACAAAGGGCAATAACTCAAAAATCATGCAAGATAGAGTTATCTTTCTTGTGCACTGCACTCCTCCTCAATGAGGTCTATCCACCTATGAAGTTTCAAGTTGATAACTCAAATACTTTTAGAGATATGCTCCGGACAAAAATGTCGGACGGAAGGACGGACGGATGGACGGACGGAAGGACGGAAGGTCGGACGGACGGAGACTATTTCTATATCCTCCGCCGAAAATTTTCGGCGGGGGATAATAAATAAAATGGGTTTTCATTACTCTTTATAATCATTTTGAACTAAACAAAACTGTCAAAAGGACAGATACACCTCCCTCTCTGCTGTTTTCAACTTTAATAGTGATATTTTAATGCATCCTTGACCATATTGGCTGGCACAGCTGCAGTCTGTGTGAAAATATGGTTTGGGAAATTTGACCTTTAAGATTTGACCTTGAAGCTTGAACTTACATGGCTGCTGCAAACATCATAACAATGTGTTCAAAATACAATGTATGATCCAGTATGGAATGGACAATAAAATATTACAAAGGGGCACATTGAATATGCATATACATACACATTGATATGGATATTGTCTAAGTATATATCCTATTTCAATATTTCCATTGTACTTTCTCATTTGTAGAAAATCAAATCATCAAAAATGTTTTTCATGATTAATTATGTAGTGATAAAGACTTCATTTTGAACAATATCTTGTTATATTTTTAAATATATAAACACACCTGATAGCCAGTAGTGACTGGTCACAGGGGGGAGGGTTGTAAAATCAAGCTATAAAGCTTTTTAAGTTTGAGATAAGAGTGAATCATGCAAAGTATTTTTCTTAATTAATAACCGGGTTTATAAATCAAGCAAATTAGGTGATAAATATTTTAAACACAAGAGGGCCATGATGGCCCTGAGGTCGCTCACCTGTATATAGGCCCCCCCCCAACCCCCACCCCCCCCAACGTTGCAGGGCCAATTTAACCAAGGGCTTTTATTTGCACAAACTTGGTAGACACCCATAAGAAGATGTTTCATGCTAAACATCTAAGCTCTAGCTCATTGGGCTTTTTAAAAGAAGATTTTTTTTAAGTTCTTAGTCTATACACATATAGTTAAAAACAATGACACCCCTGGGGCCGGGACAGTTTTGACCCCAGGGCTTTTATAATTGAACAAACTTTGTAGACACTTACTAGAAGATGTTTCATGCTTAATATCTAAACTCTAGCTATTTGGGTTTTTTCAAAGAAGATTTTAAGTTTTTGCTATACACATATAAAGAAAATCAATGACCCTCGGGGCGGGGCCAATTTTGACCCCAGGGCATTTATTTGAACAAACTTTGTAGACACTCACTAAAAGATGTTTCATGCTTAATATCTAAACTCTAGCTATTTGGGTTTTTTCAAAGAAGATTTTAAGTTTTTGCTATACACATATAAAGAAAATCAATGACCCTCAGGGCGGGGCCAATTTTGACCCCAGGGCATTTATTTGAACAAACTTTGTAGACACTCACTAAAAGATGTTTCATGCTTAATATCTAAACTCTAGCTATTTGGGTTTTTTCAAAGAAGATTTTAAGTTTTTGCTATACACATATAAGGAAAATCAATGACCCCCGGGGCGGGGCCAATTTTGACCCCAGGGCTTTTATTTGAACAAACTTGGTAGACACCTATTAGAACATGTTTGATGCTCAATATCTTAGCCATAGCTCTTTGAGTTCTTTAAAAGAAGATTTTTTAAGTTTTTACTATATGCATATAGGGAAAATCAATGACCCCCCGGGACGGGGCCAATTTTGACCCCAGGGCTTTTATTTGAACAAACTTGGTAGACACCCATTAGAACATGTTTCATGCTAAATATCTTAGCTCTAGCTCTTTGGGTTCTTTAAAAGAAGATTTTTTAAGTTTTATACTATATGCATATAGGGAAAATCAATGACCCCCCGGGCGGGCCAATTTTGACCCCACGGCTTTTATTTGAAACAAACTTGGTAGACACTCACTAGAAGATGTTTCATGCCAAATATCTAAGCTCTAGCTCTTATGGTTTTTTAAAAGAAGAGATATTTTAAGTTTTTCTTTTGGTTGCCATGGCAACCAGAGTTCTGCATGGAATTAAATTCTTTGAACAATTTTTAAAGGTGACCACAAAAGAACATTCCTGTGAAGTTTGGATGAAATTGGCTTAGTGGTTTATGAGGAGATGTCATTTAAAGTAAAAGTTTACGGAACGGAACGGACGACGGACGCCGGACGGACGCCGGACGAAAAGCAGATCACAAAAGCTCACCCTGTCACTTTGTGACAGGTGAGCTAAAAAATAATAATATATAAGAAGCATAATTAAATTCAGTATTAGGATAAAACCAGAGATGTAGATAACAGAGTTAAGCAGCTCCTATATAGTCCAAGAAATCCGTGCATATAATAGGGTGAATTGTGCACCTCTTGTGAAAAGCATGAAACTTGGCATGGTGGTAGGAAATAGTATTTCAATTCATTTTAGCCTGGGATCCACTTTTTAAAAATCCAATATGGCTGCCAAAATCCAAGATGGGCCGCCATATATTAAAATTTCAAGGAGTATTTGGGGTTATTTCCAGCTGTAGTCATACCTAGAATAGTATAAAAAAAAAAGCATCAGTTCATTATATTACAGATTAATTTATATTCAGGCCTCTGATCCAGGTTGTGCAAATCCAAAATGGCCACCAAAATCCAAGATGGCCGCCATTTATTTTATTTTTTCAAAATATTAAAGTTGTTCAGCTGTATTCTTTACAGGTCAGTATGAAATAGCACCACTTTATCATATTACACATTTATATATATTCAAGCCTCGGATCCAGGTTGTGCAAATCCAAGATGGCTGCAAAATCCAAGATGGCCGCCATATTAAAAATTTTCAGAATGTAATAGTCTTCAGCTGTTGTCTTCATTACAGAACAAGTATATAAATAAGACCAATTTAAAATTATGGTATTGCATATTTATTATATATTTCAAGCCTTGGATTTAGGTTTTGCATATCCACATGCTTGCCGAAATCCAAAATGGCCACCATATTGATTTTTTCA